GAGACCACTGTCACCAAGTCGTCTCCCGATTGGCCGCCCACCATCACCGTCACCAGGGGCAACGCCTGGGGGGGGGAGGGGGGGGGGGTCATGGTGGTGATGGTGATGGTGGTGGTGGTAGTGATGGTGGTGATGGTGGTGGTGATGGTGGTGTGACGGTGGTGGTGTGACGCTGGTGGTGGTGGTGTGACGGTGACGCTGGTGGTGGTGATGTGACGGTGGTGGTGTGACGGTGACGCTGGTGGTGGTGTGACGCTGGTGGTGGTGATGTGACGGTGGTGGTGGTGTGACGCTGGTGGTGGTGGTGTGACACTGGTGGTGGTACCGGTGTGACGTACTGCAGGCAGCACACCGCCCAAGTTGTAGTCCACGCGGTCCCCCATGAGGTTCACTCTGCCCGGTGCGACGCTCCCCACGCTCGGTGTGACGCTGGTGGTGGTGGTGTGACGGTGGTGGTGTGACGGTGACGCTGGTGGTGGTGATGTGGTGGTGGTGGTGTGACGCTGGTGGTGTGACGGTGGTGGTGTGACGGTGGTGACGGTGGTGGTGGTGTGACGGTGGTGGTGTGACGGTGACGGTGATGGTACCGGTGTGACGTACTGCAGGCAGCACACCGCCCAAGTTGTAGTCCACGTGGTCCCCCATGAGGTTCACTCTGCCCGGTGCGACGCTCCCCACACTCGGTGTGACGCTGGTGGTGGTGGTGTGACGGTGGTGGTGGTGTGACGGTGGTGGTGTGACGGTGACGCTGGTGGTGGTGATGTGGTGGTGGTGGTGTGACGCTGGTGGTGTGACGGTGGTGGTGTGACGGTGGTGACGGTGGTGGTGGTGTGACGGTGGTGGTGGTGTGACGGTGACGGTGATGGTACCGGTGTGACGTACTGCAGGCAGCACACCGCCCAAGTTGTAGTCCACGTGGTCCCCCATGAGGTTCACTCTGCCCAGTGCGACGCTCCCCACACTCGGTGTGACGCTGGTGGTGGTGGTGTGACGGTGGTGGTGTGACGGTGACGCTGGTGGTGGTGATGTGGTGGTGGTGGTGTGACGCTGGTGGTGTGACGGTGGTGGTGTGACGGTGGTGACGGTGGTGGTGGTGTGACGGTGGTGGTGGTGTGACGGTGACGGTGATGGTACCGGTGTGACGTACTGCAGGCAGCACACCGCCCAAGTTGTAGTCCACGTGGTCCCCCATGAGGTTCACTCTGCCCTGTGCGACGCTCCCCACACTCGGTGTGACGCTGGTGGTGGTGGTGTGACGGTGGTGGTGTGACGGTGACGCTGGTGGTGGTGATGTGGTGGTGGTGGTGTGACGCTGGTGGTGTGACGGTGGTGGTGTGACGGTGGTGACGGTGGTGGTGATGTGGTGGTGGTGGTGGTGTGACGGTGACGGTGATGGTACCGGTGTGACGTACTGCAGGCAGCACACCACCCAAGTTGTAGTCCACGTGGTCCCCCATGAGGTTCACTCTGCCCGGTGCGACGCTCCCCACGCTCGGTGTGACGCCGGGGAAGCGCTCCTCAAACTTGAGCAGCGCGCGGCGCACCAACTCACTCTCGTCTGGCACGGGGGGCGTCACACCACGGGTGGAGTGACGTCACACCACGGGAGGAGTGACGTCATACCATGGGTGGAGAGGCGTCACACCACGGGTGGGGAGGCGTCATACCATGGGTGGGGAGGCGTCATAGCATGGGTGGGGAGGCGTCATAGCATGGGTGGGGAGGCGTCATACCATGAGGTGGAGAGGCGTCATACCATGAGGTGGAGAGGCGTCACACCATGAGGTGGGGAGGCGTCATACCATGAGGTGGAGAGGCGTCACACCATGAGGTGGGGAGGCGTCATACCATGAGGTGGGGAGGCGTCATACCACGGGTGGAGTGACGTCACACCGAGGTTGGGGAGGCGTCACACCACGGGTGGAGAGGCGTCATACCACGAGGTGGAGTGACGTCACACCACGGGTGGAGTGACGTCACACCACGGGTGGAGTGACGTCATACCACGGGTGGAGAGGCGTCATACCATGAGGTGGAGAGGCGTCATACCATGAGGTGGAGAGGCGTCACACCACAGGAGGAGTGACGTCATACCACGGGTGGAGTGACGTCATACCGCGGGTGGGGAGGCGTCATACCATGAGGTGGGGAGGCGTCATACCATGAGGTGGAGTGACGTCACACCATGGGTGGAGTGGCGTCATACCACGGGTGGAGTGACGTCATACCACGGGTGGAGTGGCGTCATACCACGGGTGGAGTGACGTCATACTACGGGTGGAGTGGCGTCACACCACGGGTGGAGTGACGTCATACCACGGGTGAAGAGGCGTCACACCGCGGGTGGAGTGACGTCACACCACGGGTGGAGTGACGTCATACCACGGGTGGAGAGGCGTCACACCACGGGCGGAGTGGCGTCATACCACGGGTGGAGTGGCGTCACACCACGGGTGGAGCGACGTCACACCACGGGTGGAGTGACGTCACACCACGGTGG